TATGCACAGAAGGTTCTAGTTTAAATAAAAATAAATGCTTGAATACAGTAGCAAAGAGGTTGAGTAATAAGGATAAGACGTGAGTAAGGTGATGAGTAACTAATAAGCTTAGTGACACTTTAGTGAGTTCAACTCAGATCAAAGAAACAAAAGGCAAGCAGGACTGCATTATATATAGGGGGAGAGGTTAAAACCAGCCATTACGCAATCAAACGAAAGACAGAGTAAAGAGCTTAAATTTTTATGGCAAAGAAATACTGATAACTGCTTTTCTCTGGACACAAGGCCGGATTTCAAGCGTTTGACAGCATTTGCTTTGGCGAATTTGAGGGGAATTTAACTTATAATGTATATTGATAATTTAAAAGGATTTCGTGGAGTCCATCTCATGTCTCGTATCCACGAGTTTTTCGACCGTGGCACTATTGTAAGAGTTTGTTCCCATGAGAAGTGGGCTTTTTGGTACATGTTGAGAAATTCGAGGGTGTGTCTCTGTTTCTATTCTCCCAGTGTAACTGGCATAGCAGATACATGTAAATTAGCATGCATACTTAAGGCTAACACAAACAAATTTGGTCAAGACGAACTTTTCATATTTACACCATCATCAAGTAGTTCCAATTCCGTGAAGTAAAAAACGGAGCTACTTAATTCTGCTACATAGTTAACAAAAGCTATTGCATTATCCATAATGATCAGCTATCATGGTTAACAGAATAATGAGCTAGCACAGTAGATAGCTAACCATCCGCCTAATCATGTTTACTTGGCATTCAGTGGATGTATATAAAATATTTTGATTAATTCATCGCACACAAAATAAACATTTCATAGCTTAAATATCCGTGTATTGTGTACAGAAGGAAGACTGGGATCTAAGTTTACGTAAAAAATCTTCCTACTTTACATGAAATTACCACAACCACTTTTGTTGCTACAAACTATAATTTAATCGGAAATACCTCCAAAGATTTTGTTTGTTCCGTTTAGTTTTTTTAGGCATTATCCTTTTACTTGTGCAGCCTAATATTTTCATCGCGACTTGACAATGAGTGAACCTCAAATATACTTTATCATCAAGTATCAATAATGGTGCTCAATTCATGTTTGAAGGATTTTTCGAATTGCTTGCGAACACTGAAATATAAGCACACAAATCCTAAACTTATTAATCTGAGTCTAAATGTGGTCTTCAATATTCGGTAAACCCTACATAGTGGTTGACAGGCCGTTTAACACTGCACACCGTTCTGTTTTCAATTTCCGTACGTAATAAACATAACAGTGAGAATTAAACAAATGAATACTGGACGTATTTTACATATCTCAGTTATTTTAGAAACGTTGTATCAATTTTACCTTTGGAAAAGCTCATTTTGAGGGGTTGGAGGTCGACCGTTCTTCATAACCTAAACACTGTTAAATCTCTGTCGCCATTTACTTTCCTCTGCCGCAGCGAAACAGCTTAATTTGTTTGACAATCTCTCAGGGTAGAAATCATATATTTGTAGGCTTGTGAAGTGGAAGTGAAGTGTGAGATCAATTCATGTGATATATTTTAGTATGTAATACTTCTGAACACAAAGGACATGCTGCCGATTGGAGTGAATCACCTAAAAAGCTCACCAGATATTAGGAATATACAAATAAGCATGAGTAAAATTACTTGTATGTTTAAAAGCGAATTAATCAGCCCGTAGATCTTACCACAGACATTTATGTAGAGAGAAGACAATGTATCGAAAGCAAATAGATTTTATTGGTTTAAAATGACATTAAGCCTAGGCTTCCTCTTCAACATCAATAGAATTGAATGAATAAATTTATTGTGTTTGCACTAGTTGGAGCATTAAAGAAGATGGATCTTCTAAGTGACTTTTCCACAAGTTTGAAAACCGAGTCATCGTTGCGCCATCAATTATTCGATGATCGGCAGACCAGCTGACACACATAATGTGTGCTTCCTTGATTCTATTGTTCTCGTCAAACCGCGGTAGCTTCTATCATTAATGACATAAAATAAATTTTGTCTTTTTACTAAAGAATAGATAATGGCACAGACTGTTTGCGAAATAAATTACAGATATTTATTAGTGGTCAGCGAATTGGATTATTGTGGGCAGGTTGATCCATTCCGTAGTTTTGAGGTCCTGGGTTTGATCTCCGGTCGGTTCATGCTTTCGTACTGGTGAGGCCTTCCAAGCTAGTAAGAAACAGCCGTCCAGTACGTTGGTGGCACTCTGTCTGACATGTATCCGTGATAAAATTTGTAACAATTGAAAAATTAGTGTAATAAAATTTTGCTTTATTAGATGAATGTTAAGTGTTGTACGATGTTCACCTTCTAGAACCACGTTTTAACCAAGTTTCCAATAAAGCTTAGATAAGATTAGGATAGATGAATAATCTATACCTGTATTTGCCGATTGCATTGGCTGGTGGTGCCGCTAAAATCACCAAGTGATTGAAGTTAGAATTCATGGACAGGCTATTGAGTCACCTTGTAACCGGAAGCTCCTGGGTTCGAAACCCAGTGAGTGCATACTGTGTAGAGTCCCAAACTAGAACTGAACAGATCTCCAGTACTCTCTGATAGTTTTCAATGGTTTTCTAAGTGATATCAATCTGTGACCGAACTTGAAACAAAATCTTTACCAATACTGTCTACTCAACTTCAGTATTGCTTTTGGTATCAGATGAAATAGTACAACAAAGTAATCACTTTCTTTCAATAAATGATATGGATGTTTAGCTGTAGAACCTGAGCAAGAAGCTACGAAAAGGAATGTTCTTTGTTAGATAATTATTGTTTCGCCGAATAAACTAAATCATAACACATTCTATGGCTATCTTACTTGTCTTGAGCTTTATAGAGGTAAGCATTTGGATTCCATGCCTGAGAAAGATCACACAAAACAACTCTATGAATATTGCATTTTAGAGAATAATTTAACCATGTTTCCAACATGAAGACTAGTTTCAGATATCATTATTCGGTTGCTTTTTAGTAGACAAAAATTTAAGACCGCCTCGAAACGCAGGACTGAGCACATTACCTCGTTTGCCATATTTTTTAAATAGCTCAGGAAAATAAAGTGGATGGGAACATACTGATATTGTCTAATAATCCAAATTTCACTGTGTCTGCGTTTTGGCAGTTCAATGAATCTCGACTTGTTACTTTTATGAATGAATTTAACTACAGATTATTACGTGGTGTTAAATAAATTACATTCTTTTCTTTCATATTACTGTGTAGGATGCGAGTAGTAGATTTGCTGAATAAGGATTATGCAAAATAGGATGACTTATGTTTGATGTCACACAAAATCGAACACTTATAAGCAAAAACCGACAAACTGGTCGAGGAAGCAGCAAAGACAGGACTCCAGGTGAACATAGACAAGACGGAGTTTATGAAAATAACCAACCACCACCAACAACAACTGCGTCGGTGGCACAGTGGTTAGGACTCTCGCCGACCATGCACATGGTCCGGGGTTCGAACCCCTGCCGGCGCACACCCGATATCTATGGTATGCCTGAATTTGGGCAACCGATATCCATGCTGAAATTTCCACACTTGTACTGAAAATACGGTGTGGAAATCAAGCTGTAAATCAAAAAAAAAAAAAAACATCCAGCGCCAATCACCATCAACGGGAGGGATTTGAAAGAGGTTACTTCATTCACTCAACTACAGGAGGAACGGATGAGGATGTCAAATCGAGAATTGGGAAGGCGAGAAACGCATTCATCAACCTGAAATCAATCTGGAAATCTTCGTCACTCAGCCTGCATCAACAACAAAATTCGGATTTTCAATACAAACGTCAAGTCAGTCAGTTCTTCTATACGGATCAGAAACTTGGCGGGTCACAAAGAATATCTCCAACAGCCTGTTGCAGACCTTTATCAAAAGGTGTCTTCGCTCTATACTGAAGATCAGATGGCCGGAAAGAATCACAAACAAGAAACTATGGGAACAAACAAGACAGGAACCAATCGCTCAACAAATATGCAGGAGAAAGTGGAGATGGATTGGACACCCTCTGAGGAGGCCGTTGGGTGACATCGCGCATCAGGCCAACGCTCGAGTGGAACCCGAAAGGGAGGCGGCGAGTGGGACGTCCAAGGGTGACATGGAGGAGATCGTGTGAAGAGGAGTTGAAACAGTATGGACTGACATGAATACATATGAAAAGTACAGCAGAAGACAGAAGCAAGTGGAGACGTGCAGTTGAAGCCCTATGTTCCACTAGGAACCCAAGGGAACAATAAATAATAATAATAAAATAGGTTCTTAATATTTTGAAAATTTCACGAGTGCAAAAATCAAAACAATAAGAAATTTTGTAACAATGCAAAATAAATTCCAAGATGTTTAATTTCACTTTGACATTATCGTAGACAGTAGATTGTTTACGACAGAGCCTCTGTTGATTAAGACTGTCCTTCTGTTTGTGAAATCATATTTGCTGACTTCAGGGGAATCGTCATATACTCAGGTTACAAAATTCATTGTCAGATAAACTTCGGAACTTCAGGAATTCATATTACTGCTATTAACTTATTTTGAAAACTTCAGTGACTTTAGTGAAGGTAAAAGCCTAGATTAAAAGCTTGGAACCTGGCAGGATTTCAAGAGTAAGTTGTTCAGCTAAGTGGAGAAATGGCATTACTCAGATAATGCTAGCATCACACTGAAACAGTTATGACTAAGCCTGAATATTTACTTAAATACTCTCTGCTGTCTAGAATTTCATTGGGTTTCCAAGAAAATACTATTCTGGCTACAGTTATTTGTGAGAAGTAAGCAGAACAGCTGACAAAGATTTGTGCGCAAAAGTAGGAAAATTTAACCACGTTTTGATAAACTACAAAATGACATCATACATAAACAGTCTGTAACGATAGACAGAATTACTTTTTATCTAATGCATTACTATTATCTGATAAATCTTAATTCTACTTATGAACAATTTTTAATTATAGATAAATTAATCTGAGTTCTTGGAATTTAAATTTAGGAAACTTCTGCTGTTTTTGATAACACTTAAACCCACCTGAATCCTGCCTATACCACCAATAGCCACTTGTGGAGGCACAATACACGGTGCGTTAAACATACCACCAATCTAAAGAAGAAAGAAATAATAAGACATTAATAAGAAAGTAGAACCAGAGGTTTATGAAGACAAAACCGTCTTTGTCTGTAGTAACAGTCGACTATTACTACTTTCTGTAAGTCAAAACTGACCTAATAATTATGGTGTTTTATCATTATTGTTTTCAATTTAGAGTAATCCATTAAGGTTCTTTAGGAAGTGAATAGTCGGTTTATTCTGATAGATGGTGGTCAAAAGTCGAGTGTAGAACCCGCATCTCTTCTTATTCTGAGCTCATCATCTGGATAAAATTGCATACTGATATGATTAAATTTTTAATAAGGCTTAAATCTAATAACGGTCATTTCAAATACTAAAGCGTTTTTCACTGTACTGCTGATACATAAGTGCCAGTTGTTGTTTTTAACTGAAACTTGTGAATCTTTAGAAATTTTTTTTATTACATCTGGACCCCCTGGTTAAGAGTCTTGATGATAACTGTCAAATGGCACCAAACTGGAATGGAAAGAAATCGTAAGGGCGTCTGCTTGGAAAATCCATATCCCACTGAAGACCGGTCGGAAAACTCATTAGTTCCTGTATGCGATGCATTTCAATACAGATTCTTTAAGGAACCATTATTAAGATAGTGTTCTGAACTCTCTAGGGAGTAAAAGACTGGTTAATGTTTCTAGACTGTCTATAATAATAATCGCTTTATTCTGAACAGTGCTTATATCATGTAGAGAATTTCTAGCGTAAACTATTGCATAGTAGTTTCTCTTCGTCCAGGAACTTCAAGAAAAACAACAACTGCAGTAAAGCACTTATGATCACTTAATTTTTGAAATCTACTTGATAAAATAAGGCTTTGCACTGTTTATAAACCAGTTTAAAAACCAGTCTAAGTGTCAGTTAGATAACTAAGATACTAGTGGAACAAAAGGATACTTACAATACAATATGACATACGTTTTTGCTAGGTTAAACCGATTCATAATTGATATGATTATGAACAATAAATTTTGTTCTAAACGTCATCCAGTAAATAATACTGTTTCACTGTGTGATATACCTAATAAACAAACTAATATGGAATAAACAGATTCATAGTTTTTCATGGTGTGCAACTGCAGAAAGCGTACCTGAATATCACAGTTTCTCCAAAAGCATGTAATCCGATGTTCCTTTGTAATTGCGTCATATTAAAAAGGAGTTTAATTTTAACGTTTGCCCTCCACAATCGTTAGGACAGAACTGGCGGCACTCCTCGAAAATTGTCACTGCGTTTGTGGTGGTATGTTTCAACTAGTGAATGTGGCGTGTACTAATGACAATAATTTGCAAGTACCTAAGGGTGATGTTTATTGCAAGAATCTTGAATGGCAAAGCAATGGATTAAGTTTTAAGAATATGAAAACAAGGGAATGAATGTTAAGCTGTATAGGAAGTATGAAATGGAAACATAAGAAGTAGAATATGAATACTTTTTTGTAAATTGAGGTTTCTATGTAAGATGTCTATATTCTCCCTCTACTATGTCATTTGCAGTCAGATTTCTCTGTAATCTGCCATTACCAGTATCTGAAACACTTTTTCTAAATCAAGATCAATAAACACTGAGGAATAAATTTAATCTAATTTAATTTCGTACTGTCTAAATCTTCCACATGCCAAAGAAACTGAGAATTTGTATACATTTTAACGGTTTAAGGTTTCAGTTTAGTGCGTTTATGGAAAATTTAGAATACACGAAGTGAAATTTGATTCCTTTTATCCCATAATGTTTATTATTCTCTTTATTACAAAAATTTATCAAACGAATCAGCTGCATAAAATACTTTTGCCGAAAGTGTTGAATTGCCAAGACGATGAAAAAAACATTAAAGCCGGAAAGCATTTATTACTTACACTGCCAATATTAGAAAGAGTAAATGTACCTCCTTCAAGGTCAGTCAGGCTCAACTTTCCTTCCAACCCAAGTTGTTGTAAACGATAAATTTCCTCTGCAATCTGTACAACTGATAGGTTCTGGACACTTTTTATTGTTGGAACGATCAGTCCATTTTTCGTATCCAATGCAATTCCAATATTGTGGTTTTGCTTGAAAAACAAAAAAATACACCAGCAATTTTCCATCCATTTTATTCAAACTTCAGTAAATACAGAGGTTGACATATCGACTAAGAGTATGTTTGAAGATCTGCATTTGTAATAGACTTTTAAACAAAATTATAAATAATCTTTTCTTCTTAGGTAACTTATTTTTAATTATAAATCTGCTCTGTAGGAGAAATTTTTTTATTATATTAAGTCATAAATTCTATCTGCTACTCATTTTGTTTTCTTATATGTAATACCTCTATCATGTTCTAGGGTTACAATTTAATAATTGACATATAAATTATTGGTCAAAGGATGCCATCATGAGGTGACATCGGTTAGAGAACCATTGGAAAACGTGCAGGTACTTGACGGTTGTTTCCTCCTAATTTGAGACTCTTCAACAGTACGCATCCACTGCCTGGGTTCGAACTAGGGCTTACCTGTTACAAGGCGAGATCGTAGACCATTAAGCCACTGGGATCCTATCCAGTGGCCAGCCCATGAATTCAAACTTCCGCCAATTTACGATATAGCGTGACTGGCACTAACCAATGCCTTCGGCGAGTTTTTGTCCTCACAGGTTTTCCAATGGTTCTCTAACCGATGTCAGCTCATGATAAAATCCTGCAACCAATCAAATCCCCGCAAACCAACACTTGAACATAAGTTACTGATGCATCATTTAAAGCTCGTTTAGTTAAATAGCACGAAATGAAATATGTTTCATAACAGGAATGTACACACATAATGGTAAACAGGATAAGGGTTACAGAAGTTTCTTATTTTGAAAGGGCAAAACCGTGACATACTTTGGCTCTGTACAGTCAGATTAGCATCTTGATGGCACCGATCACGATATTTAGTGTTTTCGACTTATAATGCAAAGCTGAAAAATATTTCCAACTAGTCATATATATATATATATATATAAGATTTTTAAACCGTCTATAGTTTAAACGTTTTTGATATTTTTTCATCAAAACATCGAGTGGTGATTATTGTTCTTTTCCGATGCTTTTAGCACTAGGATATGTATATTAGCGGTAATGTTTTTCAGTATGGCATTACTAACCTAGCTTTCTTTTATTGTGTTGCATTGTACTTTGGATTTATTTCGATGCGGTAATATTTTCCCAATAACTTGTTGTTTTAGTAAAATAAAAACGCTTATCAGTGGTTCTAGGATTAATTGTGGTAACTTTAGAAATCTTTCTTCCCTTCAGGCTGCTGTGAATTATTGTGTAGTAAGTCAGTGCATGGAAGCGCTTCCTTAAGAGGAGCACTAGTCATGACAAAACCTAACAAATTGAAAAGAGATGATATTTTTGACAAAAATAATTGACAACATTAAGTATGGGTGTGTACAATTACGCTGTGGAATTTATGAAATATCTAGATTAATTTCAGGACATATTAGGCGTCACTTTTAACGATAAGAAGTAAACCTTTCTAATTTTATGAATTTTCCAGCCTGCGTTCAGAAACACTAACATGGATATATCTTTTTACAAATGTGATATAGGTGACTAACCTTATATATAATATTTTCATGTTTCTCATCCAGCTGAGAGTTTAATATTGGAAATTCATTCAAGGCAAAAGATGCAGCCTAGAGTATCAAATACAAAAAGTTAATGGGTAAAATATCACTGATCAGTATTTTGAATAAGTAGAAAATTAGTTATACTATTACTTGTATTCACCTGCAGTCTCACTTTGCATAACATCTGTAGAGTTAATGGAGACTCTTACTATGGAATCAAGATTCCCTATACACGTATTAATTTGATAAATCACTATCAGTAGTTCAAATGGTGTTAGTTATCTGAGAACAGTACATCTGTATTGTATATATATACCTTCTCAGACCTTATTAAATGGTTCATCAGATTGTGTACCTGATAATTCAATGACGAAGAATACCGTGAATCGGCAGCTCTCACCTTTCGTATTCGCCAGTGGAACAAATGATAATTTTAATAGGCTTTACGCTCGTTCGACTAAATATTTTTTTAATGAACGATTCCTTATTTGGCATACAATCTGTTTGAAGAAAGAAGTGTTAAGTATGAAATTACTAAATCAGAGTTATGACAACAAACAAATGCCTAATTCTTTTATTATCATTAATATACTGCTATCTTTACACAAATGCCTAATTCTTTTGTTATTATCATTAATATACTGCTATCTTTACACATGTTGTCTTTAATTAATTTGTTCATTCATTCATTATTATTATAAATTTAAAAACTCTTTAGTTATTTCTCCCTCATTTAATGTACACAGAACATTAGATATGACATCACCGTGATTGTTTGAAATAAAGGCATTATTACTATTTTCTATAGTTTGATTTGTAAGGATTGGTTATGTTTTACGAGTTGATCACGGACTGATATCAGTTAGAGAACCATTGAAAACCAGGGAGTACTGGACAGCTGCTGTTTCATCCTAGTTTGGGAATCATCGGCAGTACGCACCCACTGGGATTCGAACCCAGGACCTTCCGGTTACAAGGCAAGCTCGTATACCATTCAGCCACTGGGACCCGATTCAATGGCTCATGAATTCTAACTTCTACCAATTCGTGATTTTAGCGCGACCCCAACTATTGTCGTTGGTGGAAATCCATCCACACGTGACTTCTAATTGGACCTCACTGGTCACGACTTCTCACTAGAACTGCAGGAAGCTCCAACCTGTAGCAAGTCACTAGCGAGCATCAGAATAATTTTCTATAGTTTGATTTGTAAGGATTGGTTATGTTTTACGAGTTGATCACGGACTGATATCAGTTAGAGAACCATTGAAAACCAGGGAGTACTGGACAGCTGCTGTTTCATCCTAGTTTGGGAATCATCGGCAGTACGCACCCACTGGGATTCGAACCCAGGACCTTCCGGTTACTATTATTAAATTGTATTGTTTGTAAATAACCACTAAAAACTGTGTTTCTGAAATTGCGGTTTTACAGAATGAAGCTTAAACCACTTCTTAAAGGTATTAGATTTGATCAATAAGAAAAAAAACATTGAATAAAAGTTCTCATGCTTTGGATCACTATTAAATAATACGTGTTATTGTAAATTCACTTTAGAAAGCCTATTTAGCGATGATTTAAAGGAGAACAAGCAATAAAGGTTAATAAAACAGGATTTAATGAATTCATCAAATTTCCGTAGAACTCGTCAGCTGAATACTCTACATACACGGATATACAAATATATACTTTTGAAATTACATTAGGAGATATATGACTGATAAGTAAACAAACTACATTGAATTAGTCATGCAGAAAGACAGGTGCGAATGTTTTCCAGGTCATGTTCAAATAGATAAGGGGAGAGAGAGTACGAGAGATCAAAATTGAGATAAATTGCATTACGCTTCAATTGCATCACTTAGATAAACAATTATTCACTAGAGAATATAACAAGAATTGCAAACAGAGTAATATCAATAGTAATAGTTATAATAACAATAATAATAGATAATCCTACTGATAAAGGATAGTTTTAAATGAATCAAGAATAATAATAATAAGAGGTAGAATAATAAGTAAAACGTATTACCATGGTAGATTCAGAGTGTCTACCATCTCCTTTTGTACACAGAGACCTGGTTGATAAACTCGAATTGCACAAGCCTCTGCAATTGCAAGCATCTTCTTGTTTTTTGTCTACTGACAATAGTGAATGACTTGACAGCGTCGATATCATGTCCGTAGTCCACAAGATGTTTTGTTATTGAGGATTTTGGCACTTTGCACTCAGTTGTTTTCAACCATTTTGGCGAGTAGACAATCGCCTTTCTGTATGACCTATGTATTTGCTTCCACAAACACACTCAAATTGATATACGCAGTTTGAAGTGTCAAGGATTGGCGACTGGTCTTTCCCAGATTGTTGAAGCACTCGTTTAGTGGTGTTAAGGAAAACAATAATAAGTTCTCTTGATGGCTTTATCGAGTCTTCGTTTGACTACTTCCTGTACATCATCTCCTTTGAATGGCAAACTGATATAGACAGAATTCTTCGGAACTGTTTGGATTGTTTTGCAGGGGCTAATTTCTTTGGAGTATTTGTTAATGAACTTCTCAGGATATCCATTCTTCGATAAAATATCCTTCAGAGATTTTATTTTATGCTCAATAGTACTGTCAGAACAAATTTTTCGTGCTCTATTGAACAGTGTTCTGACTAAGTTCTTTTTATACTGGATTGGAACAAAGCTCTTGAAATGCATGTACTGTGCTATCCATGGAGACTTTCTAAATATAGATCTTTCGATTGTGCTATCATTCATTTTAGTTAGAAAAACTTCTAGAAATTTAATAGCATCGTTTTCCTTGTGTTCTATTGTGAAATTGAGATTCGGATGGCATGAGTTGAATTTTATCAACATGTCTTCACCTTTTGATCTGCTTCCACAGACAATAAAAATGTCATTAAAATATCTTAGGTATACATCCGTTTCTTCCATATGTTGCTGCGAGGTACCGCCTTCTAGGCCTGACAAGAATAAGTCTACGAAAAGTGGCCCCAAAGGGCTTCCCATTGAGACACCATCAACTTAACGGAACAGACGCCTGTCGAATTGGAATTGGACATTTTTAGTACATAAAAGTAAAAGTAAAGTAGAGTTTTAAATTCGTATCGGGAAATAAATGTTTTCAATTTAAAGGAGACATTTGAGGTTAGATGTGATTTACAGCCGAAAAATGTATTTTGTGGAGTGTTTAAAATACCCACAGATAAAGATAAAAGAACTCAATACTATTCTGTTTGAAAGATTTCATATTTGACTGAATTAAACTTTGACATTTACAAATCAATCTTATTACATCAGTTACTTTCAACATAATTAAACTTACTTTTATAAAGAAGGGCAAATATGTTATTTTTATATTGTTCAGTTTTATAAGCTTTTCATTAATTGACCGGCGAAATTCCACTAGTTTAGACATGTCTATCTCGTCGGACAGAACAAAATGTGGTATTAGTTGTGATTCTGTCATTTTGTCTCTCATTACGCATTGTATAACTACAAGACAAATGTTGCACAATGTTATGTGATCAGTATTTTCGTGACACGCAATAAGTGAAATTTACAGACAAAATAAATTTAACATTTTGCATTCAAAAAGGTTTTGAATTTCAAAACTAGTTAGCCGTAAACATATTCAATCTACTTTACGGAGGATTGTCTTCTACTCATATACCTCATGGAAGGATTGTCATATATTATCGTCATATTGTGTGATAAATAGAAAATGTTCCTTTAAACTACCTTACTAGGTTAAAAGCATAAACCTGAAGAGTTTCTGTACTGTTAGTTATGGATACTTAGACCATTAGAAAGATTAGGAGGCTAATAATGAAAGCTTTTACAACTGAAAAAGAATGTCTTACTACTGAGAGGTACAATCTTGTCATCATATTTGCTTGTAAGATCTTGTTCAGACTGAGCACCAGTTTCAAAGTGAGACTTTGATTGATTTTGTCCAGCTAAATATCTCTGAATGTCTTCATGTAATACACGCCCATCCTTTCCACTTCCAGGAACATCATGCAGATTAATCTAAATTCATAACAAACATAAGAAAAACAAGTTTCAATACTTACTATATATGAATTAATGAAATAAAGTGGTACAACGAATATGAGTATTAACTCTCATTCAGAAGTTACTTGCGAAGATCTTTACACAGATAAGTATATAATGTGCATTGAAGTTAACATCAGTCAAAACATATTTTGTAAGGACTCATTTCATTTTGTAAATAACAGAGTTATTTTAAAGCCATCCTTGAATGTTGACTTTAATTCCATTTAAATACTTTAATATAGAAACAAAAGTCTACAGTATGTCTACATCATGAGTGGATATTTGCCTATTCTTAAGTTACGGTCTTAGATGCATTCATCAGCTACAGTAACAAAGTGTTCCTTATTGTAGAAATACGTTTTAATAAGGGCTTTAGACTTTTATGGATAAAAAAATACGCATCAGAATGATGTCACGCTCAGCAAAGAGTTTTTATTGAACTAATATAACTTTTTACGAGTCTACATGAAGTCATTATCTTAGTCAGAAATTACCAGTGACTTGCCCAAGCGGTATTCAGTGAAAGACTTTGTTTCGATGTTTTTATAAATAAAATGGTGCACCCCTTCTGTTCTATATTTAAGTCTCAGACACAGAGTGACTAGGAATACTCACAGAGTATAGTTCACTCGGATGTAGATGCTGCTAAACTTCCTAAAATAAAAGAGTGAATATGTTTTACATGCACTTCATCACTTGCGAATGTTAAATCGTGCTAAATAGTTGGTTTAGGTGGTCAAATGAGTTAAGCATTTCAGAAGTTGTCGCGATCCCAATAGAATTATTGCTTGTAGGGTGTTAGCCAATATGTGTCAACTTTGTTGCTGGTTGGATGTATATGAAACCACCTCACAGTATGTGTATTCTCAAACCGTTTGCTCTTCGTTACGCGGCCACAAGAGTGAATAACATATAGAAAACGTAATTTGCCTTCAGCTAGTTTCCCGTGTTCATTAGAGAAACATTACAAGTAGTGTTATACTTAGGCGTAGAGTGTTAGGTACCAGCGATAACTCAGTCGATGAAACTCCAAATCTTAATCAACTGAGGTGGCTGAGATATATTGCGCATCTAGTCATTGTCTTTCTCGAGGAAGGATGTCAGACTAGGGAACGGTTAGAAGCAACAAAGTCAACACAGTTTGAGTCAGTTTGGATATGATATTTTGACTAGATACTCTCCTTATGGTAACAGTAATCACTGTTTAATCAGTTTCTCATTATAATCAAATACTGAATATTTTGGCCCGGCTTCATTAAATTAATCTCTCTGTCTCCTGGTTATTCTTGTTCCTAAGGTTTAACCTTAATTTTTGCCTTGGCTACTGATAGTCGCTAAGAAACTTCTGCTCAAAGTTTTGTTTTGGTTTATTTTTGTGTCGGTCACTTAATTTCTTTGCTTTCATTTTTGTTTACATTTCCGTCCCATATTACCAGTTTTTTTAATAATGAGTTGTAAGAATTACTTATTTTGAAAATGTTTTCGAGGTAAACAGAGATTTTCACATGTTTTCCACAATAATCATACAAGGCAAATGTTTATTGGGTAGAATCTTTTATGCAAACACCTTATCTGAATCTGTTTCACGTTTTGCGGGTTTTCATATATAATTGTAGACATATTTAGTACTGTTTTTTAATAAAGAGATGAGATGTTCACGATAAAAGTTCAAAGATCGAAGAGTATTAAACATCTGCTATCTACATTCTTAGCCACGAATCCATGTTCTGTGTGAAATATTAAGAAATATGTAAGTATAGCCTAATAATTAACTTCATGAAGAAAAACAGATTCAAACACAGTATTTTATGATAACCAGGCATCAACATACTACTTTTTCCCTTGCAATTCTTCGAACGCTGGGAGTTGCTAATTTTCGACTACTGCTCATGTTAAAACACGTTGACTGAGAAGATATATTTTGCATTTTTACATCAAGCTCACTGCTGATAGGTTTGCTTGCTACGAATGGTTTATTTTCAAAATGTTGAGCTTCACCTGGAGTTTTGAATGTATTAACCGATGCCACCGGCTCATTCAATGATTCGACTTTTTCTGAGCTTGAACTTTTCACTACATTATTTATCTCAATATCCACCAGTGGTTGTCCAACTTTACACACTTCATTAAGAGTTAAGTGGAGTTTGTTTATAACTCCGTCATATCTACTGGATATTGTCACTGTAGCCTTATCACTTTGAACATCGCATATTGGATCAAACTGACTAACTTTGTCTCCAACTTTCACATGCCTGAGCAAACGAGAAAGCAGAATCTTGACACCGATCTGTTATAAAAAGCATTCAAAGATGTTACAGTATTATAAAGGCATAAGAGGGAGAATTTCTGGTTGGTAATTTTAAGTGCTACTGGTATTGAATGTATTGAACGTTGAAGTAAAACAGTAGGAAACCTTTTAGAGCTTTTATGTATCCCTAATTTGGATGCCCGGAATCTGAAATCTTTTTGTCTCTTCTAAACTGTCAACTTTATTTGTCTGTTTCTCGCTCGTATTTTCAATTGTATGCAAATTACGTTTTTACTTAGTGCCATAGCATTTTCGTCAGTGCACTGTTTCATGACTATGTGACAAGCTGTGATGTACTTACGAAAGTTTATGGGCCTGTTTGAAAAGTAGCCTAATTAAGTGCTGAACTATGGAAATTAACTAGAAATAAATAACGTCGTCCACTAACTATAGGACGATTACGCCGCATACAAAGTAATTCATAACTGAAAACTCATCAAACCGTTTGATGTGAAGACAGAAACAAGACAAAACTGCCTACTATCGCCAGTGATATTCTTGATTATGATGGAATGGATCATGTGACAAACTGATAGGCGTGAGAAGACGCGTATACATTAAGCCAATAAGAAACCCCAGAAGGCACAAATTACACGGATAACTCTTGTCTCGCGTTCCACAAACTCGTAGATACACGCATGGAAACTAAACCTGGAAGAAGAGGTGGGCAGCACGGAACTCTAGATATAGAAGACAGAAGTGTGAAGGCACCCAAACAACAAGTATCAATCACCGTCAGCAAGAAGAATGTAAAGGAGCTCGTCTCTTTCACTACACTCAGCAGCATTGACTGTTTCAAATATAGGTGCCACTGATGAAAATGTCACAGCCAGCCAGGATCGAATCAAAAAAGCAAGGAAGGCTGCCATTACTGTTAAGTCAGTGTCAAGGTTCACAGTACTTAGTACAAGGGAGAAGATTCGAATTCTTAACAGTAATTTCAAGGTAATGCGTTTGCATGTTTTAGAAACTTGACGAGCATGTCACAGATAGCACCTTAAACAGACTATAAACTGCCATCGCTATCTGCTTTCGCTGGATCGATACTGAATATGAGATGTCTAGTCGAAAAGGATAAGAGAACAACGAGAATCTCTAGCAGTGCGGCGAATCAACTAAGAACCTATTTCCTGAAAAATAAGCAGAAAGAAATGAGGAGTTGGACATACGCTCAGAATGCTTTTCAGATGATACCATAGTCCAGGCCTTCAAGTGTTGTCAGAATGGGGAGCGACGAGTTGTGTGACTGAGGGTGACGTGAAAGAGATCATTTTAGGGCGAAATGAAAGGTAAATCAGGTCCTCCTAATGAACTTTAATCCTAATCTTTCCTAAATCTAATGGCAGTCTACCCCTAACCAACCCTAATATTTTCCTAATAAGATTAATTTACCTTGACCTGTTCTCGGTCTAAATCTAACCTAAAACCAACCAGATATCCTGCTTAATATCACTGCACTTTATTAAACATTTTTTCTATGAATACAATGTTGTTTACCTGGTGTCGACACCATGTTTTGACTAGGCGCTCCGAGGTCACTGGTGCATTTATGTAATAAAGGTACAATAAATTTAAGTTCATTGAGGTTTTTATCAGTAGAACTTCTGTTGAGGTGTAACAATATTTTTTGCCCCTAACCTCTAAATTACATGTTAAGTTAAGCGATCATGTTTCTAAACACTATTATCACTACTTCTCCACTACTACGATACCAAATACTAGGTAAATCTCTGAAGGCTTCAGTGTTAGTGTAGGTCTAGTTAAAAACCATCTCCGATTGTCTGTATTTACGCGTCATTTACGATGAAATTAGAGAAACAATTGCTACCTGTCATGCCTGCCTAATTTGTATGTACATGTTCAGTCTTTTAATAATGAATCTGTCTAAGCTGATGTATATTCTGACCGGTACTACCATTGTTTCAAACTGCAAAACAGAGTATTAACAAAACTTTCTAAGGCTGAGTGGACGGAGATGTGCTATGAAAACATCCAAACATTATGCCAAGTACATTAATGTACCCATAATATTGGAGAAATACTGTTCAAACAGATATCATGTAAGTGAGTGGTGGGCACAAAGGGTGACTGAAACAGAGGGAAAGAATCATGATGCGTGAGACGATGACAACCTTTCAGTATTTTGTCTTTCAAAAGTATTTTGAGGAATCAAAATGCATCAGAAACCGGAGAACATTTGAGAAATATCAGATGTGGGCACTGCTTTCCCAGTTATTCTCAAAATTTCTTAACTTTCACTGAAACTATTTGAAATTACTGAAAATTCAAACGACCACGTGATGATGGACGATATCTCAGAATTGAGTATTTCAAATACTGAATGGTAGTTTAGGATGTTAATTGAGTTCTAGACAAATATATACCCATTTGATTACCCACAAGCAGTTGGCTTTCTTTTAATACTCTTTAGGATATCGATTTAGTGCAAATCTACTAAACTGTTATGCAAACAGATTTTATATATTATTTTACAAGAGTTTAACTAATTTACCATTCCTTTATAACTACTTCACGTATACCCTCCCCTATGTCAGCCAGATTGAAGTGAACGACTTCTAGAAGCTCTGAGGCGGATTACTGACAGGTAATTAACTTACGTGATGATCGGTGGAAATATCTCCTGATATATTCAATACGACTTTCCTTACTCCATGTACAGAATTGTAAGCTGACGAAATTAGTGTTAACACAAATAAAAAATTACTTATTTTTGAAAAATCCAGCTACTGAACACTTTTTAAGGCTTCCGAAAACAAAGATACTTCCACACCGGCGGAAAATCATTACAGTTTCATAAAGTGCGGTCAAACTTTCAGGATATTCATGAGACAATAACTGTGAAACTTCATTACTTCGGTTCGATGAGTGGTGAGAAACAGCTATTGCTCCACATTCCAACTGTGTAAGCTAAATTTTATTAGGTATTTCTAGAGGTTTAAATACTGTATCAAATGATTAATGAATTTCATGGAAATGCGTCTATCAATATGTAGTAATTTTTCGACAAATTTTTATTAAACTTCAGGCTTCCTGGAGCTGCCTTCCTTCTGGTTTCGGAGAGTTGTGACTCCGTGGCAGGGTATAGAAAATCTGTTCTCTCGATAGCAGGCAACATCAGCCGATAGAGCAATGCTCACTCTACCCGCCTAACTAGCCTATAGAGAACAGACCTTAAGGAAAACGAAATTATAGCTCACTTTTGTTTCTGCCTTGCGATACGTGGTTCTGTTATTTTTATCCCAAGGGACAACTCGGTGAGATTATAATCAAAGGTCCTGATTTAACTAGGATAATGCACTTCATTTTATCCTTCAATTAGAAGTAGTTGGGAGAATGAAGATGCAGCTGGTCTTTATATCGATGAGTTGTAGCAGATTCCCTGAGCATGTTTGGACATTCCCCAGTGGGCCTTTCTAGAAGTATTTTTGTATGCCCTCCAGTTTTTATTTCGAAACGACTTCTTAGGGCTAGGTATGTTGTGTTATCCGATCGCCTCCCTGAGATTTTCACTTAGTATAGTGCTCTTCTTTTCCTTTTGCGGAAATGCTCCATGTCTCTTTCTATTCATCAAGGTCTGTTTCGAGAGTTGCAGTTGTCATGGGGACCAAATCGTTGGCGAACGTCTTGATACGTCCCAAGTGTTTGTCTGCTGTTTCCGAATGCTGATCTTTGTCTGAGCTTCGGTCATCAGTTCAGAGTTAGCTTTAACTTGGCAAGGCTGGGTAGGATAGTTTTATTTGACTGACTGTAGCTCAGTAGCTACTTCGAATACCGCTATCATGAAGCCGTTGCTACCTTTTGATGATTCCATTTCCATATTCTTTGAAAGCAGGTGGCCACATATGAGAAGGCAATCTGGCTTCGATTGTTTACTACGGGCCTCCAAGGTGCACCATCCGTGGTGATTTTCTAAGGACTAGCAGCTCTGTTGGCGTTCAACAGCCATTTCTTGAAAGGACTGCTGTATCCATTCATCTCACCAATGGTAAATGCTGGTGCATTGGAATTACAAGCAGTGCTGCTTTGTTAGAATCCCACCCTCGAAATCATATAGATTGCTTTGATTGTTTGCCTCTTGTGCTTCTCGTCTCATGTCGGGTATTGGTAGACTCGAATCAGGAACGTAGTGTCACTTATGGAAATACATCGTCAAACTGGTTCAAGGGATTTGGTTACTTCTGCTTGAAGGGATCTCGCTGCTCACATACAGTGTGCGTCACCCTGTGATTGTCTTTTTAGTAATTTCTAAACAGTGTTATCGCATACATGGTCATTCCATGGTTTTTGAATCATTGATCATCTTTCAATAAAAATGAGAGTTCAGAGATTTCAATACCGTTATCTTACTTCCTAAGTCAACGGTGTCTTCGTGTGGGCGATTTTGAGGTTCATTTCACCTCAGAGTTGCTCTGTTTGTTGTTGTGTCCAGTATGAGACATCATTTTACATGTCGTCCAATTCCGTCAGAACTAACCTTGCCTTATTAATAACGATATGACATTTTCGTTGGGATCAACTTCTTACTGTTCTGCAGGTAGGTAGATGTGGGTTGATAACTTTTCTTCTGCCTGTTGATGTTATTGAACTTTCAGCTTATTCTCACAGAATTGAATCTTTCTACTCATGTTATCTTTGGCTTTGAAGCATGCGGTTACAAAGCGATAGGCCCTACAGTATTAAAAGCAAAGAGCAATTGAGTATATACTTGTGTTTCAATACATCTCTACATGTTATCAGTAAACACTTAAACACATATATCTCTAATACGTTTACCAAATTCACTTCTGATGGTTTAGAGAGTCGCATATGTCAGTTCGTCAGCGCAGGAATTCAGAATATTCTGCAGAGAAGTAGACATGCTTTAGTGACTTGGTTTCTAATTTATCAATACAGTTGAATGGCTTACTTGGCTTGGTTACATCGCGGATCATCGTCAAAGCTGAGACTATGTACAGCTGTGAAACTGTTATGTTCTGTGTATCAGACATCAACCTTATTACCCAAGGTTTTTCAATTTCAAGACCTCTTGCAATTCTGCTTTGCGACTACTGGTTGTTAATATTTGTTTTTCTTCGTATTGTAGCTCGCCAACAATTCCCTCACTTTTCATGTAGGTAAGGGAAATTCGTTAGTTCCCAGAATATTTCTGGGAACACCATTGCTAATAAGAAAAGTGGTTCTTTCACCAGATGTACACATCCTTGAAAATGAGAGTATCTAAGATTTTATGGGGAAGACTTAATGGAAACTACGTTTAACTGGATCATGTAGCATTTAACATAATTGACTAAATGGGATTTTGGAGGTCTGAAGGTATCGACCTTCACGAATTGTACGGAGTATACTAACGCAAGATCTTATACCAACAACTTCTATAGTGTTCGCTCTTCGAGTACCAAAGACAAAGCAAAAGACCAGATTTAGTCGTCCAAAGTACGATATATATTTCAGGACCAAATCGCGGGTTGAAGTGAATGCCTAGCTGGCTGGTGATTGTGCACGAACGTGACAAGACGGAGTACCAAATGGTGGGGATGCTTGACCGGAAGCCTTTAGCTAAACAAGAAGAAATAATGATTAAACCACAAAAGAATGAGTTGCGTGAATAGCATCACTCAATTATGTGATATAGGTGTGAAGGTATTCTGGGAATCTTAAGTAACGTCCAGAACGCGTTCGCTTAGAAGGCTTGACCGAAGGTTCGGTGGCTTTCGTCGTGTCAGGGGGTTCGTCGAGGACTAAACGATATTCAATTACTTGTGGATTATCGGGTACGTTTAGCTGTAGGCTAATAGGATTACTTTTCAAGTAAGCCGGTTTCAGACGGTCAATGCTGACGGTGTCTCCACAGCCTATTTTGTCTAAGGCAAAGAATATATCCATACGTTTAATTACTTTATATGGTCCGTCATACGGGGGTTCTAAAGGGCGACGCACAGAATCGCGACGAACAAATACGTGTGAAGTTTTTAAACACGGGTGAAGGAAGACATCAATAGACTGTGGTCGGGGGGGAGCAGGTTTAACTGAACGCATTGCGTTTGTAAGCCTATTGACGTATGAGTTGTGATCTACCGCTGGTGAGAAGCTCGAGGGAGAAACAAATTCACCTGGCAGTCGTACTGTTTTGCCAAATACTAGCTCAGTGGTAGTACAACCATCATCGGTTTTCAAGGCGTTTCGTATCCATAGGAGAACTAACGGAAGGGATTCTGTCCAATGGGTATTGTTTGCAGCTGATAAACCAGATTTCAACTGTCTGTGTAGATGTTCTGTCATACCATTAGCTTCAGGATGGTAGGCTGTTGTTCAAAAACGCATGCAACCAAGAATTTTAGTCAAAGCGAAGAATAAGCCGCTTTAGAATTGCCGCCCACGATCAGTTGTTATGGAAGATGGTCATCCAAAGTTTGCGATCCATCTTTCTACAAAGACGATTTCAGCATATACCTCCCTAAGGGGTACTGCTTCAGGCCATCGTGTGAAGCGATCAATGCAGGTTAGCGTATAGGTATATCCATGAGATTGTGGAAGGGGGCCAACTAAATCAATATAGACGTGTTCGAAACGGGCATCGGGGATAAGGAAGGTACCAAGAAGGCCTCTGGTGTGTCTTATTACTTTGCACTTTTGGCAAGCTAAGCACGTGTGTGCCCATTCCCTTACTTCCATATTAATACTAGGCCAACAAAACCGACTAGTTAGAGCTTGGTGGTAGCTCAAATACTTGGGTGGGATAAGACGTGCAACGTATTAAAGACGTTACGGCGATAACTTTTAGGTACGATAGGGCGAGGAGTACTAGTGGAAATGTCGCAGAGAATAGTATCTTTCCCTATACCTAAGGGTTTCTTGACTAATTGTAGAGTTGTTTTCGACAACTCACACTGAAGCTCAGTATCTTCTTTTTGAAGACGAGCCAGTTTTACAAGGTCTATGCCGTCGATTTGGTTGATGGAAGAAATTCGCGACAAGGCATCTGCCACAGTGTTGTTCACTCCGAATATCCGATGCGAACTGTGAAACGTAGTCCAGTTGTCGTGATTCCCTGGGTGAATACTTGTCTGAGGTTGAGTTCAGAGATTACGTCAGAGGTTTGTGGTCAGTGAAAATTATGAATTCATGACCCTCCACCGAATGTCGTAAATGACGTATAGCACAGTACATAGTCAGAAGTTCTCTTCCGAATGTGCTGTACTTCGTTTCAGCTAATTGAAGGCGCCTCGAGAAAAAGGCGAGTGGTTGCCACTCTTTGTTAACTACTTGTTGCAGAACTGCGCCAACTGCAGTATCTGATGCATCAACCGAGATACTTAACGGTGCCGTTGGATACTGATACATTGGAAGTGTGCCATCTGCAACAGCTTTTCTAACCTGAGAGAAAACATTTCGAGCAGACGTGTCAAGCTCGATGGACTTGTTATTCCCTCGCAGAAGGTCTGTTAATGGCTGAATCAGAGGAGCACAGTTCGGAATAAACCGTCGGTAATCACT